ACACTTCCAGCAGTGCATAGAAGGATATTTAACACGTGAAAAAAGACAAAATTAAGGCTTTTTCAATTATTATACTTATAAAAACTTTACAATATATGAAATATATTTGTCATATTTTTACTTTTTAACCAGATTTTTTTGGATAAATAAGAGGGGAGAAGGACCTGGGGACATGTTATAATCCCTGCCCACATCATCGAATGTTATCGTTCTGGAGATGGAGAAGACAAGGGTGGTGTCATGTTAGGTCTCATGTCGCTGCACGTGTTCGAATGCGGTACGGTAACAGGACACGTTTATAGGGATGTTATCCTGCAGCTTTTTACGGATGCATTTGGTCCTGGGTTCATTTTAATGGACGAATTACAATAGTATAAAGTTGAAGGTATGAATGTGGACAGCGTAAATAACCCCATGAATGTGAATGGTATAAAGGTGTATACCATAAAGAGGAGCATGAATATGAGCGACATAAAGGAGAATAGCATAAATATAGGCGAAATGAAGGTGATTAGCATAAGAACAGTAACCTATAAATTACTCAAATAAATCTCAAAAATTCATTCACCTTTCTTCCTATTATCAATAAATTTACTATTTAAACAATTATTCGTTCGTAGCACAAGTTAATTCATCAATTAAACTTCATTAATGAAAGTAAACATTACGAAATTTGTACGACTTACACGTGAAAAAAGTCGAATGTTTCTCGTGTCATAAAAAAAAAATAGAATTTTTTAGAAATGAATGAGTATCGATGTCATAAAAGTAACTTTACTCGTAACATAAATCTACGTGTACGCGGTTCATTCATGAATTACTGATACAAAAATATAATCAACAATAGTAATGGAAGAGTGCCAACAATGGAATGTCTTCTGTGCTTTTTCAATGGATGTTTAACTCTCTGGAACCGCCGACTTTATCTGTAACTTTTAAGCTATAAATATGAAGAAAACTTGACCTTCTATGCGAAAATCTATGATCTTAAACACAAAACTGTACTCTTAAGTCATCAAAATTAATTAAATAAATTAAGATTTCATCAATAAAATCTCGAAAAATTCTATCTAAATTTGTACTTTTTATAAAGCGATGAATCCTTTCGATTCTAGAGAATATTTAAGATAATTATTTAATATAATAAAAAACATGACAAATGAATTAATATTACTTAAAATATCTTTAAATTTAATTTCTTAATGCTGCTTTATTTAATTTTCGATATAAAAATAGAAAAAACCAGCAAAAATTTCTCTAGTAGGAGCTAAAGAAAGTGGATCGCCGTCATATAAAAGTAAGAATTTGAATTACGTAAAGTCAAAAAGTACCAAAATTTCTTTTAAAAATAATAAAATATAATATTCTAGAGCTTTAATTCCTTTCGAAATATCATTTTAACATAAAAATTATGTTCAGGAAACGTATTTTTGAACCTAAATTAAATATGAAAACTTAAAAATGAACACGTTTACTCGTCAAAAACTCAAAAACTTTGATGTTACTGATGATAAAAACGTGTTCTAAGACGTTTTTAGGATGATAGGAATTAAAAAAAGCTATTAAATTTTATTATAATAATAGAATTTTTTGTATTTTTTTACAGTTTTCAACGGTTTATATCAACCACTAAATTGAATAAAGAAGGCTCCAAACAGCTCTAATTTAACAAGTAAGAAATTTGTAATTTTTTTAGAAAATATATTATTATAAAATGTAAAAAAATATTGATAAAATCAAGTCGAAATAGTAAAAATTTAACTCAAAAATACGACTAAATTCAAGGTTTTTATTCGATTAAAATGTTAAAATATACGAGTTTTCTTCGGAAAAAAACCGTTAAAGTTGTGTTTTTGGATGTAAATTCTATAAATTTTTAGAATTATTAACAATGGATAGAAACATATTCAAAATCTGTGTAAATTTCTTAAGTAAGACCACGTCGAGACTCAAAATTTGTGTATAAAAGTACTAAATAATGTCTGTAGTAGACGTAGAATTGGATTTTTATGCTGCTACGTTACTGTTTTTCCTATCAATCAAACAAAATTGAAGCTTACTACTACTACATTTTCGCTTCCTTTTACGATTATAGTATATGGCACATTAGTACGGAAGCTAGAAAAGCTTCTAAAAATATATATTATAATTGTAAATCGTAGTATTTTTACCTTTAAATCATTCATTCATAGTTTAATTCGATTATTTTTTTTAATTATTTACACTTTCCTGCTTAGAAATAACGTTAAAATTACGCGTAGATCGTTCATTCATTAAAAAAAAGTTACTTATGAATGAATTTTTTACGTCGCTAGAAACAGAAAATACTCGATTTCAACAATCGAAAGCGTGCACGTTCATTCATTCGAAAAAATCACTCGATTTCAATAATCAAGCACGTTCATTGGTTTAAAAAAAATTACTCAGTTTCAACAATCGAGTGAAATGAATGAACGTTCATTCATAAGTTGATTAGAAAATGAAGCGTTACTATTGGTCAGTTCGTACAATCGGCTTAGTTATGAATAGTAAAAAAGGCGATTTAAGTTTTATGAATGGTAAGCGTGAATGAAATGCTCTTTCAATGAGGGAAAGCAGTCGCGCGCGGCTCGTGTTCTCGTAACTCCATTCATAAAAACGGGAAGTAGTAAATCAGGAATTAAAGAATGAAAACGTAAAACTAGTCGTTTCTATTTTTTTTAATACACTTTTGTGATAAAATACACGCACAGAAATCCTTATATAATTGTAGCGTAACATTTAAATCGTTAATTGCGTGTTTTAGCGTAACATATTGAGTAATTTTTCGATATTTTTAGCATTGTTTCGGATGCCAAAACCGTAAGAATCGACGTGTTGTAATGTTCTTTCTACGAGAGCGTAACTGTTTCTGTAGAAGGAACTTCACTGTTATGTTGGATTGTATCCAGTTTTATAGTTACAGGGATGATAACGGCGTAAATTTTGACTTCTTACGACAGTCTAGTCGTATGAAATAAGATAGAAGTTAGTGTCCGTACTTTATTTTATTTATTTATTTTTTCTTTTTACGTAGTAGACGTATAAAGAAACTTCGGTATACAGTTTATGTATAGAAATTAAATAAATGTATAACAGTTTATGTATAAGAATATAGACATTACGAACGAAAATACATATCTATTTTGTAACGAACATTACAGATTTTGAGGTGTAGAAAAGCTCGTTGTAAGTGGAAAAGAATATTTCAAACTAAAAGTATTCGTAACATTCTATATTACTAGTAACGTGGCTCGCTACACCATGAGTTACGTGTCTCGCTACACATAAGTAACGTGTCTCGCTACACTATGAGTTACGTGTCTCGCTACACATAAGTAACGTGTCTCGCTACACTATGAGTTACGTGTCTCGCTACACCAAACGTGGCTTACATTTAGTGAATGGTTTAAAATATTAACTCGTAGTGTAACCTACTTATTTTTCCCTACTGATCTATATTTTCTAGTGGAAAGTTCTTAGTAAACTTGAAACTAAAGTTTTCTATCGAAAAGGCCTTTCTTCATAATCTGTTACCAGTATTTTCATGATTTTTCCACACCATAAGCGCAAATTTTTTAATTAAACGGGCACTTTAGTAAGGAAAGTGCCATGCTACGAGTAAGGTAACTTACTACGCTCCTGGTAACGTAACTTGCTATACCACAACTAATGTAACTTTCTACAATGCTCATAACGTAATTATAGTGTACTCATACTACAGTATAATTAACGTAACTTTTGACATCATATATATAACGTAACTTCTTACATTACAAATCGGTAACTTACGCTAAGTGACGACTTAAGGTGACTATTTAAGTGGATTTTTTATGAGAAAATTAATAAATTATTAAATCGTTTTAATTGTAATCAATTATTACCTATGCTTAATAGCAATTTAACTAATTAATTATCATATTTATGGTTCTATACTTCAGAAAAACAGTGATAAATTCATTTCGTTTAATTGTTTAACTGTATTAATCGATTAGGGCCTAAATTCTGAATTTAACTTTGTTAATTTTAATAATTTATCCTTAAATTATAATACTTTTTTATTATGATTAAAATTAATTGCGATTAATAGGCCTAAATTTAAATTAATCTTAAATTCTCATACTATCCCTTAATTATCATTAAGCTGAATTAATTTAAACTCAATATTTATGCTTAAATCCTTATTATTTTCAAAAAATTACGCACCAGTTTAGGGATTTTAGGGTATCTAAATTCAATTTATATATAATTCATCTTAAAATTCCATGTTATTTAAGTATTTTTTTTATGCATAAGACTTTCTTAACGACCCCTCTTCAAATGAAATTTTAGCTTTGAAATTTTTAATTATTGCCCTAAATAAAAAAAAATTCAACCTTCTGTAATTAAAAATATCCTTTAAAACCCTATTTTAAGAAATATTTACTCTAGAAAAACGCTCCATAGGGACATATATGCAAATGAATTTTGTATAAAACCTTTTGTAAGGAGACGTTTATGCCCTGTAAATATCTTCTTATAGAGGGTTTTAGAGGGACCTAAAATCCCTGTAGTGAGATGTTTACATCTTCTAGAAGGCCTTTTAATTAGAAGACACTTAAATTTTCTATAAAACTTCTAAGGAGATCCTTTAAAACCTCTATAACAAGGAAAAAACCACTTTTGTAGAGGCATAAATGCATCAACAAGGGGACGTTTAAGTCTTCTATCAACCGCTTTTATAAGGAAAAATTACCCTAAATTTACGAATTCTATTTATTAAGTTAAAAAATTAAGTCCCGAAGGATCTTTGTAGGACTTTTTATCACTCATAAATAAATTCGCTAAACATACAATTGCGGGTAGGGATCTATACAGGGGTTAACGGGAAAATATCCCTAAAATATTAGATAATACTAACTGTCTTAACGTGTAATTAAAGTTTTAATTTAATTTTTTAGCTTATAAACCTTAAGTTTACTCATAAATCGTGTGTTGCTATTGGGGCATTTAGAAAATCTTTGGCCCACTAACTGACCATTTTATCCAGAAATTCGGGAGTGTGTTATTCCTTCTACCTTAAAATAGTTGTATTATGATTTAGGGTGGCCCGTGTGCTGAACGCAAGAGACCTATTTAATTCCCACACTTACCTTACTCGATCCCTTTACCTTCTTTGGATTCGTTCCACTTTCAATCGATGATTGACGAAGGTTATAGAATATTTCGCGTGTAAACCCCCTAAAATAGGGTATAAAATCGCGAAAATATTCCCCATCTCGTGCCGAATTACCCACACTTTTAATGGAATATATATTATATATAGGCTATATATTTCCTTTTAAATTATTTTTAAAAATATATAATATTTACAGGCCGTCGGCCATGTTCGAAAACACCGAAAAGATGACGTAACAGGGGCAGAAACACGAAAAATACAATAGTAAATTTCTGCTTTTTTTTGTGTGTGTAAATTTTTTTTTTTTAAATTCCTGTTGGGTTTTATTAATCGAGTGAAGAACTTTGCCGCCATTTTGTCTTTACTAGTCATGCGCAATAGGGCGAATTAACAATTAAGAAAATCACGTCACACGTGCTTAATTGTCGGGTCATTCCGGCACGTGACCGTTTTCGATAAACACCGGAAGCGGGAGGAAGGGGTCAGGACCCCAAAATTGGTGGTAAAGAGGAAAATGACGTAGGAACTACTTAACGTCGGCGGCGTAGTATTACAGGAAGTGGCAGCAGGCCGACAAAGTTTTCATTTTTAGTGGAGTTGAGACGAGGAAGTGCAGTCGTATCACACTAGCTTCTTACTAAACGCTTATTAAACGTGGTTTAACCTCTAAAAATGAATATCCATCGACAGAATAATGACGGACGGTAATGTGGATGAGTAAGTACACCCATTTGTTACTATAGTAGCGTGTGGAATGGGTTACGCAAGTTACGCTACTGACGTAACGGTTTAAACCCCCCTTCGAAGGCTTATAAATGCGTTAAATCGTAGTACGAGTTAGCTGGGGTGGTGCCGAAAACACATCCGGATGCTGGAGATTGGCTCCATTACGACACCACTCTTCAATGAATGCACTCGACTCGAATGGGTTTACCGGTCGTTGCGTGCGTTAAATCGGGTTATTTTCTATAAAATTCGCCGGTGGGTGGGTCCCCCTTCGAATTAACGCGAGTGGCTGGTTGCGGGGGATAGAAATACGTCACACCACGATCCGATTGCCATAAACACCTCTAGTGTATAGGTGAGTGTTGAGTACTGTACAGTTGCCGGTTTCATAATTGGGGGGGGTTCTATTGCCGGGAAGTGTAAGTTATTCTTGTGTCTGAGGGTGAGGTTTTGTGTTGCAGTGCTACCTATTTGGTTCGTGTCAGAGCTCAGGTCATGGCCAGGGACGATTCGTCCGGAGGATGGGTGCCCATGGGCACTGGTGGACTCAGCAACGTATGCGTGGGCAAAAGGAACGTGGACGAGTCCAGTCGACGTGAATACGTCATCTACGGTCGGAGGATCACGGATCAAACGGTAAGTGAAAGGGGGGGACGTTGACCCGCACCCTGTTTAGTCTGCATTCCAAATATAGAAACGGGTCCAGATCCGGACGCGCACCATCTGGTCCTTCCGCTGCCGTTCGGGAATGATTTTTTCGGTGTTTGCAGGTCGTGCTGTGCTGCAGCATCAACAGGGACTTTCAGTATAACAAAGTGATGCCCACCTTTCACCACTGGAGGAGCGGTGACAAGAAATTCGGTCTGACTTTCCAGACGGCTGCTGATGCACGAGCCTTTGATAAAGTGGTTAGGTCGGCCATTGACGATATTACGGACGGTAAGTGACGTTCAATTGTTTTTTGTTCGTTTTTTTTTATGGCGCCGGATGGCGCGTGAGTCGTTTTCCCCCTCCTTTCATTGATCAGCGCGCCGCGTGGTGTGACCTCCTTTCCGTTCATTCAGTTACGGCCCGCTCGCGTCGCCATCTGGTGATCCGAAATCGAAGTAGTCGCCACGTTTGCTCCAAATTTTAAGACCTAAATTTATAATGTGGACGTACGAAACAATTTACGATGTTTCGAGACTTAAAACTCTAAAAATTCGTAACTTAATTAAACGAATTTGGTGTTTCGGTCCTTCGAAAACCAATGGCCGAGCGGATGAAACTAAAGAACGTTGGTAGTTAGTCGCGGGTTCGCGCCCGACCAACGTGCTAACCGTGTGGAGTTTTTCGGGTTTTCTTCGCGTGTACTGTACAGTACATACACCTAAATAGGCGGATTTCTCATAGAAAGTCCTCTCGAGACACACACCTTTGGCAGATCGCACGTGTGTTTCGTTATCTTATCCCTTAATCCAATCTCTTATTCTAATGATGCACCATGGCCTATCAGCGGCCAAGTGGTCTTCGTATCCTGAACACTGGGAGTTCGGTCGTGGGTTCGCGCCACGCTCGGACAGACTGGCTACGTGGAGTTTTCCGGGTTTTCTCCGCGTCTGTAACGCCTAAATAGGGGCCAGTTTCCCTTAAAAAGACCTCCCGGAAGGCATCCCCCTAGGCAGATCGCCCAAGTGTTGCGTTGCCATAACTTAACAAACAAATAAGGATGCGCCTCCTTAATGCTTTTCTTTTGTCGTAGGATTATCCTCTGTGCATATTTTACATAGATCGTGTCATTTATGAATGCTCCTATTCATGTTAAACCTGTTTCTTTGTATTCTTACTTTGTCCTTTAACTTGAAGCAGTATAAAATTTACTGTTTGCTTCTTTACAGGAACGGGTGATTATCTCCACAATCACTACAAGGACGAAGAAGTGTTTATGGTAATTATGTCATATATTTCTCGTAAGTTACTATGTTAAATGATGCTTTTTATGTTAAATCTCTTCATAGACTCTAGACTTACCAGTCGATTCACGTTCTTCGTCGTCCAGCAACGGCAGTGGTGTGGTCGGTTGTCCCTCTTCGACGGCACTTAATGTACCCAAAGATGCCACGTCGTCCTCCTCGTCTCCGTACGCTCGCTCTCGTTCAAATTATCATCATCCTCATCATCGCATGCATTTCATCCCATCCATATGCACCGGCAACGGGGTGAGCAGCAGTGACGTCAGTAACGAAAACAATTCTCAAACCGGAGAGGCACCCTCGAGAGTAACTAACGAGGAACTGTGGACTAAAGACAAAGCCTACGTCAATCCCGACATCGACAAGATCGAGGTGATGTCGGGGGAATCTTACTCCTACGTTCAATTTGCCAAAGATAAAGGCAGGATGGAGCACGAGTACTCCTATCCCGTTATGGATTCGGTTAAACCTCATAAGCAGGACACGTTGAGCAGTATTACAAAGCACCATTTGCAAGTGATCACCACTCAACCCCCTCTGCTACCCACCAAAAAGAAGAAAGAATGCCAAAGAGAACTCCATTCGCCGCTGACCCGCTTACAGTGTCGACACTGTTTGGAGATGTTCAGCGAAGAAGAGAACCAAAGAGGTAGCTGCGAGTACGCCCCCGACGAGGTGCTAGCTTGTATCAGTACAAGCACCTGCATATCTTGTGCTCAGTGTATGCTGTATCATTGTCTTTCTGACGCGGAGGGGGACTTCAATCATCATCATCCGTGTTCGTGCAACGGATCTGATCAACACTGCCACAGACACTGGATTGGTTTGACGCTCCTTTCCATTTTCGTACCTTGTTTGTGGTGCTATTTGCCTCTTCGTGCCTGCCATTCTTGCTGCTCCAGTTATGGCGTTTGCGGGGGTAGACACGAGGCCATGTAGTACGGAACGATGTAGTGCCTGATTATTAAAACCTTCCACGTTTTGTCCTCGAAGAAAGGTTTAGATTGAACGATAATCAAACAATTTTTTACAGGTTCGTATTCATTTTATCTTTAGTTTTGTATTTGGAAACACGAAATTCTCCATCTTCTGCAGGGGTCATTTTAATTCTTGCCCCCTTTTTAACTTTGTTGCATTGCGAGTGTTCGGCTCAATCGTTGAAGGCCCCAAAGAAAGGTTATGTATCAAGGTCTTAAGTTAGATGTGTATCTTTTGATCGGCTCCCCTTTGGTATAGCCTATTTCCCACCCTTTACACGTGAAACATTTCAAGTGTTTGCCCACACTTGCGTTCAAATCAATCTTAAGTTAAGCAGCCTAAAATTCCAGGTTTGAGTTAGCACAATTTAAAGTACAAAAACCGCAATAGGAGGGCAAAAATTCTTTTTTTTCATCGTTAAGATGAAGTTTACCCACATTGCAAAGCGTTATAAAGGCTCGTCACGTGATTTAATTTATTCACTTATTTATTAAAAATCGAGCACACAACTCATCATTCATTCCGCTGTCCTTAATTGCATTATTTTTAATCATCGTCACCCATAATTTTGCACACCCCTTTTAATTTTAAACTAGTCATAGCATTTATTTATTGCATAGTTTATGGTTTTACGGGTTCGGCTGTATATTTACAGCTCTAGAATATACAGAATCATGGTAAAAAAAAATAACTGCCCATGAGCGTCATGGCCAATTGTTACGAGATTCCTCCTGATAGTCCCTCTGCTGAAATCTCCAAAATCCGTGGCTAGAATCTCCGGAAGAAAACGTTCCAAAATGAATTTTATGCAGGATTTTTTTTTTTTTGGCAAAATTTTCAGCAAATTGTGGGATTTAGTATTGTAAATCCTGATTCATGATGGATTCTTGCTGCGTTAGGCATGGAGATTTCTTGCTACTAGCTTGTTTACTTTGCCAAATTGCTACTTCTATGGTTAAAGTTGGGCACATTCCGGATTTTGGCACCCTTAACTTTAAATTATTCCATTCAAAATCAATTTTTTGAAGCTCCAAAATGGGATTTTGATAAAGCCAAATTGCATTTTTACGAATGTCGTAATGAAGAAACGATAAATCGTTAGTTAGAATCAAAATTTTTAAAAATAATAAAAAATACAAGAAAACTTAGGGTGCTATATCTCATAAAAATGGTCCAAAAATACCGGGAATAGTTCTAAACACTTAAAAAATTGCAACTTAAACACCAGACCTTGCATTTGTTTGTATATTTTTTTAAGTTTCGTCCTATTTTAAAAATGGAAAAAAGTACTTACGAGTTGAAAGTATTGTGCCTTATGCAAAAAAATAAATAAAAGTACAAACTTGTACGTCGAGAAATTTTTTTAAAAAATCTTTTGTTTATTCTACGTACAAGGACCCAAAAAATCCAACTTTTTTACACGGGTTTCGGGTGTAAAATTCCAAAAAAAGAAACAGCTAAAAATTTAGTCGATTTCGATGTTATTAAGCTTCCCTTCGATGTAATCATTGTTAAACAAGATGTGGAAATTGTACAAGATTTAAATCTTGGCAGCTATCGTCACGTTGTTACATCATAGAAAATACTAAAGAAAAACAATTAGACTCATCAATTTATTGAAATTTGTGGTTATAAAAACTGTAAATTTGCATCGATCATTTGTGTTTTTTTCTGTTTTAATTAATTAATAAAACATAAAATGTGTATTGTGTTAATTCTTTGTTTGGACCTCCCAAGACGGACACCTGTAGACGGCGGCCATTTTTCGGGAACGTTTCTTCTAGAAATGCATACAAAACCTTGGTAGTAGAGTCACACCTTCAGTAGTGTGGCAAACAGTTTTGCCACACTAGTATAGGAGAAAACCCTGGTCAAAGACTGATCTTGTGCAAAAATTTTGGGAGATTTTTTACCTGTATAAATTTGGGAGAGGGAGTTAAATGACAACAGGAATTTGCAATCTTCTGTAGAATTCTGCAGGTTGTTGCAATCTCTCAAATTGGCTGAGTTACCCTCAATACCCTATTCTTGAGGACAAATTTCTTGCTTGTTATTGATTTTAAGTACATTTATATCATAATAGTAAAATTAAAATGTGTATTGTTAGTGGTAACATATAACACTTGTGGAGATAGAAGTACAGAAAGACATGGTGGTAACAGTGATATTCTGTGATTTTTGCTTAATGATGATTTCCATAAACAATTCATAAGGATGATGATGGAAGAAAATTGGATGTCTTCAAAAATGCATATACAGGTCAATCATCACTTATCTGGCATCACAAATCCAGGTCGATCACTAATTTCGGCTAATGTAATTTCAAATTTAGGGGTGCTCAATGTTGCCAAATGTACAATAATTTGACAAGAATTTTCATTTATGTTTGTTTTTCTTTATTAACCAACTTGTTCTAATTTACAGGATATTTTAAAGATAAGCTGAGATAGTTGGGTTGTATATTGTAACCTAACCGTTGGTAACCCAGCACTCTACAGGTCCCAACAATTCCAGATTAGTGATGGTCAACATGTAAGTTGCAACACTGATCTTTCCAATCATCAAGTATTCTGCCAACCCAAAATGGGGCAACAGAGTAGTGTGGGAAGGGACTTGATATTTCTGGATCAGACTCCATAACTCGAGACCTTTAGTGAAGGACAGTCTCTCGAGTCATTTTTAACTTTCAAAAATTACAATTTGGGTTACACACACTTCACATGTATCATTGTAGTTTAGATAATCTTTATTACATTGGAAGAGTTTTATAGTCTCATATAAAATGACCAACTGGATGAGGTAGTAAAAAATCTATCTGCCACTTTGTAACTTGGGTTTTAGAGTTGCAGCATCAATAGACAATGTAATTATCTTGCTGTGTCAGATCAGATCTTACCAGGTCTGCCAGATGACATATAAGTTTGGATTATCTGTATTGAGCAAAGGCAGGCCATGTAAAAGTATGCTAATATATCACATAAAGAAAATTCATCTGTAAAACTGATTTGGGCAAGCCCATTCAAAATTCATCTATCTGACACTTATGATCTTCCTCTCTCTTACTGGTTGGATGATATCAAACTGCCCTCTTTGGAAACTTTTTGTGCATTTTCTTTACATGCTCTTTCCATTTATATCTAGAGTTTAGTAATTAATTTATTTTATAAGACAATCTGGAAAATTTTAACAATATTTTCAGTCATTTTGTTCCAGTTTTCTCTAAATTTTAAAGTGACTATTACTGATTGAAGAAAATCATTGACTCTTAGTAGGTTTACTCTATGTTAACTGATGCACTATAAACTGTCGTGCAAGAGACCAAGTACAGGTAACGCACATTAATGATGGGGATGTGTTTTAAGAAATATGCTGTAGTATACAGTATTGTAAGTTATATGTAACATATATTTGCATCTAAACATAGAGCTGAGAAATTCATATTCATCTGTACCTTTTTCTATTATAATCTTATGGGACCTCCATATGTTAAGTGGCACATAATGGAGGTTTTTTGGAAAGTAAAGACCAAAGTACAGGTTGAAGAGAGGTGCAAAAGAAGATATTAGAGCAGGGCTTCTTAAACTTTTTTATTCATGACCCCATTTATGATTGTTATTTATTTCACAACCCAAAAAATATAAAATAAAGATATATATAAATTTGCAAAAACAATAATGGTGTACTACCACAGTTCACTCTTGTGTTACAATGGAACAGAGACAACTGAATACACTGAAAAGCGACAACAGTACACTAGTTCACACTACAGTGTTGCTGAATCGTTGTCTCGCTGCACCAGAAGTGACACAAAGCATGCCATTTTCAAACTCTCACAAATTATTTTCAATATTTTGCATTAAAATCTCGCGACCCCAAGATTTCGCTAAGTGACCCCAAATGGGGTCGCGACCCATAGTTTAAGAAGCCCTGTATTAGACAAAAGAAGTCAAAGGAAGAATAATCGAGAGGTAAGACAACTTGGAAGAGAATTATAGTTAAACGTAGCAATCTCACATAGAAATGGCATCAAAAATTAACATATTGTCTGCAAATCCATTTTTAAAACAAAGAACATTTTAGTGTTAAAATGCAAAAATTAGTGGAGTAATACCAAGCCCAATGTAAATTATGCACACACTAACATGAAAATTACTGGACAATGTAAATGCTTTGGCAACAAACACATCATTGTCATTGGCAGTGTGAACGTAACATTAAGTAAGACAATTCTAATCCTATAAAATTCTGTAGTTTGAAAGCTAAGAAACTTTAAATTTTCAAATATTAAGATTAATTTGTTGTTTATACCTTTGATATTATTGATGGTAGAATATATTCTGTGCTCATACCCAGAAGAACAAAATTGTTTTATATCAATTTGTATTGATCATAAACTAGTGAGTTTTCAAGAATCATTAACTAAGAGTACAGTACTATAACTATTTTTGATTCTACCTGAGGGACCCTCAATGAATTTTCATGTTAATGTGATAAACGAACTTACTTTTTGAGAATTTCTTTATTGAATGTACAATTAGTGATGAAATCAATGAAATGATTCAAGTAATGTTTCTCCTAATGTTACAAAACAGATTGATTTGTTGATCCCTTCAAAATTAACTCGTAAAACTCATAAAAATTGTTCTACGGGAAGAATAATCGGACTGTTGTTCAGATGGGTCCCAAAAGAGAAGCAATTTCCTCCGCCACCCAGTATGATGATTTCTCCAGTTTCTTCGACTAGTTCGCTGATGTGTTTGTGCAAGAGAACTGGATTCTCTGGATCTTGAATCTGAAATAAAAGAGATTGTCAATGCTCCAACAATACAAAAAATTCATTGTTTCTAAAATAATTTTGAGATCACATCTGGATCTGCTAGGATTCCTTGGAGCATCAGGCAAGTGTCTCGATCATCTTGAGTGTCAAATCTTTAATATTGCTTGTCCCTAACAATTTATTCTCTAGCAAACACTATTATTACCCCCTGTACCAAAACTGAATAATGTTCCACTAACCTATCACTGTAGACTTACTGAAAATTTTATTTTGGAAGTAATAAAATGTGGAAATGTCACACAAATTTCTCTGTTGAACATTATTTTATAGTTTTTTTTCCATTCAAAAACTGCAACATTTGTCAGAAGCAGGATTTACTTAAATGGTCTGGACTCAGAAGATGGAAGAGCAGGTAAGGCAAATTAGACAAAATGATCACTAACTCTTGGGAACCAACAGCCACAGTAATCACCACTGTTAACAAGGTACGTTATAGTAGTACAAGAAAAATACAACCATTATAGAGGAAGAAATTGCTATCACAGCTTTTGTGAATAAAAAATGTGGCCGGGTGGTGAGGGACAAGGCCCAACATATCCATATGGACCGTGTTGCTGAATCATTGCCATTCCACAAACACAATAGATTCCTGGGGATTTTTTGACCTGTCTGGATTCAATCTCAGGTCCTCAGAATGGTAGACTGCCACTTTTACCATGCAGCCATCCAGTCGTCAAGCCGATATGCTGAAAATCATTTCCTGTTTAAATAATGCAGCCAAATGTCAGACATCAACAAAAAACAGGACAACCTTGAGTCACTATAAAACCAATTCAATACACTAGCTAAACAAACTATCCAAACCCAATAAAAATTTGACAATGTATCAGATTAGTTATTATTTATATATACAGTAGCTAAAGCAAATACCTGGAACTCTGTGACAAGAGCATTCCAGCTTATGGGGAAGCTGCCAAAGCTCTACTAATGATTCTGGTAAAGAAAATAACCTATTTTGGAACACACCAGTATAGTTTTGGCAACAGTCAGGACTATAACAACAACAATTCACATCCAGATAACAAAAGGCTGATGAAACATTGTCCATCAAAATTCAAAGGATCTTGCAACTCACCTTCCTGTATTGTCCACGAGATACAGTATAGATTGGTGCTACTATATTCAATGGATGCTGTCAGGAATGTCACTATGCTGCAAGGCCTTTGATAACAAACACCTTAAAAGTGCACTGGTGCATGTTATGAATGTTGAAGTAGTTGAGTGGATGAAAAAGAAAGACCATTTGATTAGAACCCCTCTAATCATCCAAAGTTACAAAACTCTGTCTAAGTTTGGATTTATTTGTTTATGGCAATGCAACACAGGTGATCTGCCAAGGGGGATGCCTCCCAGAAAGTCTTTTAAAGGAAACTGGCTCCTATTTAGTTGTTTCAAATGTAAAGAAAACCCAGAAAACGCCCCATGGCTGGCCTATTTGATGAGGTGTGAACACATGACCAACTACCAGTGTTTGGTGATTTTATCCACTCGGTCACTGTGGGCACAAATACTCTGTCATCAATAAACTTAACAAGATACAACAGAGATTGAAGAATATAAAAATCATCAAGAAACAGCTGATGAAATGTTGAAGTTGTGATGAATGACACCACTTACAGATGTACCATTCAGGAATGGGCAAAGAGATAAACAGGGAAACTAGTGTCTGTGGCTGTTTTGGGAAATTATCTAAGGGCAGAGGTTGCAATGTAAAGAAGATACCCTGTTTAGGATTTCCAATACAGTAATTGAAAGCATCACACTAAAGTAGAAGAGAAATGACAATAGAAAATCTCTGTCATCTAATAGATCATTATCAACTGCAATGCTAGAAGAGAATTGGAAGAGCCAATCCTTATGCTTATAACAGAGTTTATAGTAGAGACCCATAGAAAACCTAGCTAGCAAGAAGTGTCACTATTTAGCTCTATGATGACCTTCAACAAGTTAGATATTCTTACAGCTTTATTTCATGCCCAAAAAACAGTGAAAAATCATTTGCCCGTCCTTTGAGAAAACCTTGGACCTTCCCATTATTTATTTTCAGCAGAACTCCTTTCACAATAACTCCACTTAATCTCCATAGCAACAGACTAGTTCATTTTGTTATAGATAAATGTGCCTTAATGTAAAGCGTTAATAAGTATTATTATTTTCATCAGGAGTTTGATATGCTCTCAAAACACTATCAGATTCACTTGAAATACTTCAAAAACAATTAATGGGGGTAAATATATGTGGGATATGAGGTGACCTCAACCTTTCAATCAAGTTAAAGTTAAAAACCATATGTGCAACCATGTGTGAGAGTAGCCAGGGGTACAACTCCGTTTAGGATTGTTAGTACCACTTAATCAGCACAGATTATCCGAAATCTGTTCTCTAAGTTTCGGATTACGAGATCCGATCTTCAATCTTCATAAAAGGGCTGTAATATTCTGCTTGATGAGGATTAAAGACTGTGAGGTCTCTATCCCAATGTCAGGTTCCCGACACCAGTTTATCTACTTGCATAACGCGGATAAACACGCGTGAAATGTATGCCGTAGATCTGATTCAAGGGATAATAATAATGAGACATCCTTTAACAAATAAACAAGAATAAATTTAATCAATCATATATATAATTATGACTATACACTAACTGATTAATACCAGTATAATAAGCAAACGAATGAGAGACAATTAATTCAAATCACAATATATATAGATATAGTCGGGAGATATACGACCTTATCCTTTAACCAATACACGATCGAGAGAGAGAGCTTACAATATCGCTATTAAACATACAACCTGGTTTAGTTGTAGTTTGCCTTCTTCTCTGTACGCAAAGGTACTTCCTTTATAAAGTTCTCAAACTTCATTCCATGGGAGGTCGAGATGTGCACAAAATTAAAGTATATCTTCTAAGCACTAACTCTGGATTTATTCTATGGGATTCGACTAAGGGCATTGGCCGTCAGGAAAAATAAGTGTGGAGTCCTGACTCTTCCAGGTCTGTCGATGAACTCCCCGAATTCAGTTGAACATGCCATATATCTTCTCATCTACGTCCAATCATCGTGTTTGGATTTTCCCACGTGGACGGATGGGAAGGGGATGAAATGAGGGGTAAACAGTTCCCACCGAAGCGAGATTTTTAGCAGATAATGGAAAAACAGAGGATGTTCTAACTTCCGTGGAAGGAAGTGACTCTCTTAGCTGTTTTCCCACGCTAGAAAAAACATTATTTTTCTCACCCAAACGAAAGAATATTTTATAATGAAAATTTAATATTATTGTAAAATTATTAATTTAGACCCAGGGCCTATTCAGATCTCACACATAATAGTGGAAGTGTTAAAGGAATAATTGTACTACTATACATGGGTGATCGGATAACAAACACTTTTGCGAAACGTTTTTATGTTCGGATAATGAACACCTCACAGAACAAACACAACAAGAAGTGACGTAAAGTAATGAATACCGATTGGTCTTCCCTTATCTTCAGACAACAATTCGAAACTTTTTGGAGCATGGGAGATGCCAACATTGACACTCAACCCAGTATATACTGATCAGATAGTATTCCTTTGAACTTTGAAACTCTCACTTGTAATTCCAGCCTTTTATTTTTCTGACAGAAACAATTCTTTTTATAGTATTCGCAAGAATGTCAGGCGGGCACTCGTTAAGTTTTGCATCTGTTTTTATTTTCGAAAGGTGAGAGTATAATAGCAAAGGTAGAGAGTGGACAGAAGATGTCTGATGTTCCTGGGCAGTATGGCTTGAACAGGTCTACAGTAGGCCACAGTTCAATCTTATCTAAGAAAGATACTGTATAATCAAGAAGACTCAAGCAGATTAAGGAATAACAAAAATCAATCTGAGAAATAAAGAACATTGAAGAGCTCATAATGGAACCTGAAACTGATCTGATGACATAAGAACACCAAGAACTCTTGAATGAAGAACACCAAGAGACGGGACAAAATACATTTTATTCTGAAAAAAATGTTTAAGAGCAGATATCAGCATTAATCATCTTTTGAAGAACTGAAAGGATGTCAGAACAATGGTATGCTTAGAATGGCATCCAAACCAGGTTGAGGTTAATAGGCTTGGGGATCCCTACAATTACAATGTTATTAATTACTTTTGAAAAATCCTGAAAAGAGAAAAGCAATCAACATTAGACAGATTCTTTAATCCCCACAAACAGAAAAAAACATGACTAATAAAAATGCAAGACTGTGTATATATGTATTTTTATTATTACATATATACTTTCTTACTATGTTTGTTTATATTTTTTATTTTTTGGGGTCTCCAGAATGAATTAATCAAATTTCCATAAAAGTCTATGGTAAATCAATAATCAATTAACAAACAATTCGGATAGAGAACAAAGTCTTGGAACGGATTATGTTCATTAATCAATCACCCACTGTACTTGCTAATAGGAGACTAATGACATTAGGCCACTTTCACATAATCTGGGTGTTTTGCCACCACAGGTAAGCCCAGGCATTGAATGTTGCCAGATGAGCAGCAATGTATTGCAAGGCATAGGACTTTTCAAAGAAACAAACACAATGAAAGTCCATCCAGATGACAAAGCCCCCGAATCTCCCTGCTACCAACCTTGAGGCCCGACATGAACATTTGCCCATGTCTTCACCAGAGCACTGAAGCAAATGCATGTCTTCACACTGTCCAGATGATTAATCATTGATTCCTTCGACTAGCTTCCGCTCATGCTCCATGGTACTGCCTTGCCAGTTCTAACAAGCTGTATGGTAGAAAACCGAAGTTAGAAAACAGTTTTGTAATTTTTTCTATCAAAACTACATCAGCAAAGCTGGAACAATATTCAATTGCAAATCTTTTACTTCTTACTTCTTTCCAGCACTAGTTTTTTCTATCTACATTGTAACAGACAAAGCATAGCAATTTTCTTATGCATGTTATCTATTGTATTAGAACAATAGATTGCTCACTTTCACTGAGGAAAGAAGATTCTCTGTTGGAGAGATACCTGGATGAAATCTAAATGTCATCTGAAAACAACATATGAGCACTGCCTGTCTGGATAAATACCCAAATGGGCAAACACCTGGATTGTGTGAAAGCAGCTATAGGCTATCAGAGTAGATTCACTCTTCCAAAAACTGCAACATATCATGCTTTTATGAAACAGCACCAAAGTAACTTACCATGTGTGACAATATGCAATTTTCAGTTCTGCTTAAATTGCCAACATTTAATTAAAACTTACCGGAAGTCTCAGTTCGCATACGTTCAGGGAAAGAAGGTCCACAACAGCCACTCCAGGAGACAATTCTGAAAAAATGTTCACTCCTCCCAACAGTAACAACTTCTCTTTCCAGATATGAGATGTGTGAGAATATCTAAAGATAAAAAGCATAATAACTAAATAAATAAATAAATAAAATGGCCAAGATGACACTCATATATAAAATATATTCCCAAATTGGAAGAACAATAAATGTCTTCACATTTTGTCCTTTTTAACACCTCAGTGGTACAATATAATAGTCTTTACAGAGGAGTTGACCTCTTATTTGAGACTACTCAGCTGATATGAAAAACATCTGTGCCATGCCCTGGAATTTTTAATTATTAAAAGTGAATAAAATTTATTTTTTTATTAATTAATATACAGAATATAGGATTTAACCTGAAAAAGTGAAATACCTCTAAAAGGAAGTACTCAGATGTGTATGTTTAAAATAAAATGTGTTTGTTGTGAAGACAGAAGGATAACAGATTTACTTATATATATTTTTTATCACATTTATATCAAGAAGTTGTTATTTTTAAATAAAAATGTTTATTAGTCATTGGATATGACATGGTGGTCTGAAGTCTTGGCCTGCTAAATTGCTCGATTTAATATCACTCAACTTTTTTTCAAAAATATCTTAAACGAGAGGTATACAAAGATGTACAGTACCTACCACCCCAGAAAACATGCATGAATGAATATGAAATGCTTGCAAAAAAATTCCCAAGGAAATGCTTTTAGCTCATTGCCAATCTTTTCTTGAACAATAAAAAATGTATCGATGTTTAAGGTCATCGTTTTGAATACTTGTTAGGTTAATTTATTCATTAAAATTGAATTTTTATATATTACTAATAAAAGTATTAGTTTTTACTTTGAAAAAAGAAATTTTATTAGCCTTCTTTTAAAATTTAAAAGTAGGTGATAAACAGTAAAAGTTTTCAGGCAAAATAATAATATTTCATCCACTAGTATGTATATATTAACAGGACTTATTAAACAGGCTTTAAAGATACTGCAACTCAGATTCACAGATTACAAAATTGTTTTATTTAATTTACCTGAAAACATATATGTTAACATTGCGTTTCAGACCTGTTTGTCACTTATCAGCAGGTATTTATATGACACATTCTACGTAAAAATTAAAAACAATAAAACATTTTAAAATTTACCGACAATAATTTTTAAAATTTACCGACAAAATATAAAATTCTTACAGTTTCGGGGTTATTTCTTTCTATTACGATTTCCACCAAGCAATTAATTTTAAACATTATTAACAGTAACTTTTTAACCAAATCCCTATATTAAAACATAAATTATTGGGTTAAACATTAACTTTATCACTTTTTTTTTTTACATTTAAACTCTATTCCAAAAACTTACATCTCCTCTTGTTTTTATTGACTTACACTTCGTCTCAACCTATTTCGATCATCCTCTTTATATAACACACTCTCCCCTTCCTCTATGAATCTTCTCCATGATTGGTGTATTTCTCTTCCGGTGTTATTATTAATTCTATTACTGTAAAATCTGTTTTTATGCGTTGGATACGTTCTACAGAAAAGCGCATATAAAAAATTTGCATAAAAAAAGACTTTACTTGCCTTGAAAAAGTAGGGATACGTTCCGTAATTTTCTAAAATCGCATAAAACCAAAACGAGTTAAAATTAACTTAAAACCGCATAAAAAAGTTTGCAGAAATTAAAAGAAATAGGCTGCTTAATAAATTACTTCAAATGTCTGAAAGAAATTCATATAAAAGCTTAAAATAAACTTGTATTCAAACTTAATTCAGTTTATTTTATTGAAAAGTAATATAGTTTTACATTTTTTAATCATTATCGCTATCTGATAATGGTTTGCACCATTTGCGAAGTGGTTCCAAATCACCTTCACCATCAGAAGAGACTGTCTCTGCAATAGATATTTGCGGTAAAGGCGATGGATTTACGGCCAGCTAGTGTTCACCCTACTTTAAACCCTTGTCCTCCCGCGACGTCTATGAGAATGCCCCGGGAAATCCAACTCCAGCTGTGTTCAAGGTCATCCAGATGTGTAAACAATGACTCATGGGTGTTAAATTTCACAGAAGCGCAAGACAAAGGAAGTTAAACTTTGAAGCTTTTTCTTCAAAATTAACGCATTTCTTTCGTTTTTTTTCAGTTTTAAGTATTTTTTGTTTAATTACATTTATATCAAAAATTGCTAGGAACTAAAGCGATTAAGGTAGATCTAGCCGTCCTTTTACATCCATAAACGTTATATGTCAGTGGAACAAATGGAGTGAGCTTTGAGCGTTCCACGATTTTTGGAGACTGTCTATACGCGGGCTTCCTAAACAAGCCTATATGTATGTTTGTCCAAGAAATTTTTGGATAAAATACAAACCGCACAACTTCAAAATCGCATAAAAATAATCCGCATAAAAAGAGACCTTACAGTATTTTGTTTAATTATATTAATATGTTTGTATAGTTGGCGTTTATAATTACTTTTTTCTTTTTTCCTTATTTTTACTGAATTTAATACTATTTCACATCCTGTTGAATTACAGGTTCCGCTACTACTGAATTTGAATAATTTCCCCTGATCGCTCGAATATGTTCATTTAATCTTATTTTTAATTTTCTTTTTGTTTCACCAATATATGTTTTTTCTGGGTTACAATTATAATTAAAGGAATACACTACTCCTTTTTCTTCTGTTATATCATTTTCTTCATTTCTATAACATAAATGTTTTTAGTTGTATTTACTTTTTCCGGTATTAACTTAATTGTACTATTTAATACTTTTTTAATTCTTTCACACAACTTTGGAATATAAGTTATTTTAACAAAATTTTTCTCCTTATATATTAAATTTGATTGAAAAACTGAAAAATGATAAACAAACCATTTATTCAACATATTTTTCGGATAATCTTTTAAAATAAACATTTTAATTATTTCTTCTTCTTCTTTTTTCTGTATTTCAATCTAATTTGTTCTTTGTCGTATTTTATTTATATACATTTTAAATATATTGTTGCAGAAACAAATGGCAACCAGTTGTTAGCAACACAAAGGGGTATTTATTCACTCAGAGAACGTACAACTACTGCAGCTTGCAGTATGAGAACAAGAAGAAGACCCTCAACCTGAGAGCTCGCGGTTATATACTATGGAGACATGGTAGAAATATGTAAATGCTAACAAATTACCATGTGTTCTCAGACTGGGAGAACATACACACAAAAAAAACCCTGCATCAACGAGGTTCGAACCTGAGACCTGCGCTCGATAGGCGAAGACGCTAACCCCTGCATCATGAATGACACGGTGGAAAGAGCAGCCCACGGCATTATACCCTCCCCCCAAAAGACAGCACCTTGCTTTCATTTAGAGATGCACTGACAGCAGGATTATCATCATTACTGGTAGAATCAGGGTCTTGCAGACTGGGATCACAATAGGGCTTCATGCGGAGGACGTGGACAGTATCCTTTGGCTTCCTTCGCTTGGACATAGGATCAAAATCCTTGACTTCATAGGTAACCTCAGATAAGCATCGAAGGATTTTGTAAGAGCCAAAGTAATGCTTAAGGATCTTTTTGGACAGACCCACCTTGCGCACAGGTGTAAATATCCACACAAGATCACCAGGGTTATACGATACGGTTCAATGAGAAGCATTGTGCCATCCTCAATCTTTCTGCTGGGCCATCAATGTACATACATGAGCTAATTGTCACGAATCCTCGGCTGTGGTGACACCTAAGTGACCAGCCATAGGGGCATCGTGGAAATGTTACAGGACATCCAGGCGCAAGTGCTTGGGGATCACGGGTAACCATCTTTTTTCAGTCAGGTCATAATTTTTCTTACAAAGTAAGCCATTGATAAGTTCAAATTCTTTTTTGATAGGCTCAGACCTCTCAAGAGCATGAATTACTGCTGCCAATTTTGGATCCTTCCTCTGATCAGCAGCGACATTTGTGAGTGTGGCAACTAAGCCAGCCGCCGTAAAAGTGTCGTCCTCAATAGGATTCCTCAAAAGGCAGTCTGTGTCTTTATGTTTTCATATGCTTTTATAACAGAAGGAAACATCATATTCTTGAAGTCATAAGGCCCATCTGGCGAGCCTTCCCGAGGGATCCTTTAGTCTAGCTAAGCAGCATAACGTGTGATGATCTGTTACCACAACAAATGGTTTACTGAAGAGATAGGGCCGGAATTTGTGGATTGCCCATATCACTGCGAGACATTCCCTTTCTGTCATCGAATAATTCTTTTCTGCCTTGGTAAGTGTCTGGGATGCATAAGCAATTACCTTTCCTTTGCCATCTTGTGTTTGGACTAGGATACCCCAATCCCATAACCACTGGCATCTGTGTGGAATTCTGTTGGCACGTTCTCGTCGTACAATCCTAATACAGGGTCAGAAGTAAATGCCCTTTTTAAGGTAGCAAAGGAATCAGCCTCTAGTTGACCCCAAGTGAACGTGGACTCCCTTTTTAGTAATTGCTGTAATGGTTGTGCTTTACAGCAGAAATTTTTAATAAAGCGGCAATAATAGGAACATAGACCCAGGAAACTTGTTACGTCATGCACATTTGCTGGAGTAGGGAAATCAGTGACTGCTCACAATTTTTCAGAGTCCGATCATATCCCATCTCTTGATATGAGGTGTCCATGGATCTTGATCTGGTTAGCACCAAAGACACACTTTTTCCAATTCAGGTGGAGGCCTGCATCCTGTATGCAGCCTAGAACAGCTTTTAACTGCACCAGATGATCTTCAAATGTTTCAGAAAACATAACTATATTGTTAAGATAACATAAGCACATAGTCCACTTCAGATGGCGTAACAAGATATCCGTCATTCTTTCAAACGTAGTTGGTGCATTGCATAAACCGAATGGCATGACTTTAAATTCATATAACCCCTCTGGTGTAATGAAGGCAGTTTTCTCTCGATCACTTTCATCAACGTCAATCTGCCAATACCCTGAATCGTGAAGTCTACAAAAAGCCCTCATATAACCCCATATTTATTCCTTGGATCTCTCACAATCCTTCAGCATATAAAATGGCAGCGTTCCGAGCATTAAT